AAGCTCTTTACCATTTGTGGTTTATGCGATTGCTTTCATTTGCTCCCCTTTTCTGCACTGTACATTTCCCTGCATACAAGCATGAACCTACTTTAAATTCCGTCCTTATATGAACTGAACCTTTTTCTCTTGATGTCCATTTTATTTCAAAGTGAAAGCATTCAAGTCTTTTGGAATAAGACGATGGGGATAATAAGGCTTTTAAAAGCAATGAGGGGGAAAAGCTCTGTACAAACAGATGCTTTATGTAGTAAGTAGGACACAGCAGCATACCGTGTGGAAGACATGGGGGAGTTGGACAAGGAATAAGATGAAGAATGTATAGAAGACCATATGAAAGAAGTTGGGAAACTGAAATAGACATAGTGATTAGGAGTCGAACAAAAGCAAAAGGTGGCCCGATTAAAAAGCTGCGTAAAATGACAGCATTGTAGGAGCGTCTAAGAATAGACAACATGGCTGTGTGTTAGTGTGTGTTGTGGACTTTGGCCCTACTGTGTGCGCATGTTTGTTGACTCTAGTCTGACATATTTGCATCCCAGATAAGAGTGGATGTAGCCTTTAACTGCCGTCTTCTGTGGGTGTGTCTGAATGTGTGTTATGCTCTGTTGCGCTCATGCTTGTGACTGCGTTTATGCATCGCACATAGTTGTATAAACATGCTACCATATTCTGTTCATTTTAACCATGAGGAGCTACCTTGAGGTACCCCTCAGCAAGGTACCGTCCCCACACCCTGCTCCCTGCTTCACTGGATGAATGGATTAAATGTAATTTCCCTACGGGGATTAACACATTATTATTATTATTAGACTGATCCACCATGGTAATAAGAGGATGGACATTGTCAGCAGCAATTCTCAGGTGGTGTTTAAATGTGTTCAGTTGATATTAAGGGACCCAAAGTGTACCAAGAAAATATCACCCACATCATCACACCACAACCACCAGTCTGAACTGTTTATAAATGCAGTTTGGAGCCATGCTTTCATGTTGTTTACACTAAATTCCGACCCTACCATCCAAATGTCACAGCAGAAGTTGTGGCTCAAACTAGCAAACATTTTTCAAATCTTAGCTGACAGGAGAGACGCCCAGTGTAGTGATCTGCTTCAAGGTTAAAGGTATTGTGCATTTAGAGATGCTTTTCTGCATACCTTGGTTGTAAGAAGTGGTCATTTTAGTTACTGTAGGCTTCCCATCAGCTCAAGGCAGGCTGTGCATTTGCTTCTGACCTCTGGCATCAACAAGACATTTTCACAAACAAAGCTGCTGCTCAAATACTGGACACCTATGTGTTTATAAGCTGTTGTGTTATTTTTCCATTAGGAAAACAACATATTCATTTACCTCAACTTTAAGTGAAAATATTTGTATTATTTATTAGGTTAAGAACATATTTTTAAAGAGTTAACTTATTCTAGTTAAGACCAGTGTATTGATATAAGCTTATTTGTGATTTGATCTGTAGTGATGTCTAATTGTTATGAGATTCAAGTCCTCCTGATTCCCAGACTCCCTCAGGCTCTTGTTGTGACATTTTGGGGAGTCGGGGGAGATTTGCATGTGTGTGTGTGTGTGTGTGTGCCTGTCTGTCTATGCCCTTATATGCGTGAAGGGGTTATGCTGGAGAAAAGAGGTCTGAACAAAGAAAGGGGGCAGTATAATTGGCTTCAGCACTGCCAGACGACACAATGACACAGCCATTGATAGTGGAATGGTTTCCCGGAAGCAGTGGACCAATTGAGGAGCGGGAGGCTGTTTTTCACAGCCTCTGATTGGCTGGACGACAGAGACTGTCGGTCTCCAGGTAGCAAAGTGAACCTCTGAGCGTATCTGCCACCCCTCTGCCTGCTGTAGGAGGAGGGAGGGAGGGAGTGTTACATAGAAGAGTAGATGTGACCTCGGCTGTGGAGAAAACAAAACAATTAATTTACATTCAGAGAGCACATTAGCTTTTATTTTCTATATCGTCTCCCCCCACTGCTTCCTCATTCCTTCTCTTCTCCTGACCTAGAAGTTTCTGCATGTGTGTGTGTGTTTGCATATCTCTGGCTGCTACTAACATCACCATGCCAGGACTCTGAAATAAGTGTTTCATTTGTCTTTAACTTGGCTGTACACTCCACAGCTCCCTCTCTCTCTGTCTCCAGTTCTGAGAACTGTTATTTAGACTGGCCATTTCTCAATTTTCCTGCTGCTTCAGGAGAGAAGCTCACACTACTGTGGCATTTAAACTCCATAGAAACAGTTTGAGTGACTGGTGAAACGCAAAAAAACCAAAGGGCTTCCCTGGTGTTTTTGAATGATGGCATGCGAATGTGTGAGGTTATAGTACATATTTGAATATGGAGTAAAAGTGCCTATTTGCATTATTTTGCATTTGCCTACAACCCGGTGCATAAATACACATCTGTGCATGTAGCTGCTGTCTGCTTCATTCGGCCTCCCTGCTTCAGCTATCATGTCTTAATGATATCCACTTGATCGAATTTCTCGGCTACTTGTATAACAACTCTCCATGTGACACACAATTAGCAGACAATTAACATGGGCAAGGGAGTGTCAACCGATTGGCTGTGCCATCACACCGCTGAGTGACATCTCCATCATCACACCTCCTGTAGTCACCCTGAAGCAAATGAAATCTGTGTCGAAACTGGAGTCCCTTTTTTTCTGTTGTGTCTGTTGTTTCTCTTTCCTTCAATGTCCATGCCTTTCAAACAATGTGAATATTCAGTTGCCCCCGCCCATTTAGCTTTCTACATCCCATTCCTTTGTTTCTCTCTGTCCATCTGAAGATAAGATACAAGTGATTTTGCTTGTTTTTTTTTTTCATGTTCATCTGCAAGTAATGCTTTGCGCTAAAACAATGTGATGTTTCTGCTAAAAGAACTGTCAGCATGACTGTGTTTGACTTTGGCGTTTGTGTGTGCCGCTCATTTCCGACCTTAAGACATTGTCCAAATGGAGACAACCTAAGCATTAAATCCCATTATGAAGCAGATGGGGCTTCTGTAAAGAATGCGTTGTCTGAAACTGGCTTCTTTGCTGTTGTTTAGAGAAAGGTTTTGATATCTGCTCATATTTTAGGCCTCTGTCACCAGTGTTGGGAAGGTTACTTTTAAAATGTATTTCATTACAGAATACAGAATACATGCCCCAAAATGTATTCTGTAACGTATTCCGTTACGTTACTCAATGACAGTAACGTATTCTGAATACTTTGGATTACTTAATATATTATCATGCTTTTTACAACAACGTGAATGTACTATTGCTGTGTGATTTATTACTATTACTGAAGGTCCGCGACTCCGAACTGTAGTAAAGGGACCTCTGACTAATACGGCGGGGTCCCTGTCGGCTCGTAGCCGAAAAATAGCTTTACTTTGTTGTGTGGGTCAACTTTTCTTGCGAGAGACAGAGACAGGCGTTGAAAGGCTGCTCCAACGGAACTTATTGTTTTCGGAGGAAAACACGAACACAGTGTACAGTCGAGTCTTAATAGCTTACTTACAACTGGGCTCGTCAGGCTCTCTTCTTGGCTGAAGTGGTTATTATTATATTTACATGCTTCCAGCTCCCGTTTTTCCTCGATGACAACTCGTACCTTTCCACTCCCCTTTTTCTCCCTCCTCGCGCTCACAGACCCATAACGTGTATGGCAGTCCATTCTCCCTGCAACACGGACTACACTGCCCATGATGCTACATTCTTTAGTGCTATGCTTGTAGCATTCTGCCTGTTAGCTTAGCACAACAACAACAACGAAAAGGCGCTCTCTCACCCAGGAAACACACAGTCGCAGAGAAAGAGAGAGAGAGCGTCGCCCTGTAACCATGGCAACCGTAACGCTGCCGCCTGGAACAACAGAACGTAGCTGTCAAACAAAACCCAAACAGTCCTGACCCGCGACAAAATGAAACAGGAAAGTACCGCAGTGTAATCCATTTATTTCAACAAAGTAACTGTATTCTGAATACCACCTTTTTAAACGGTAACTGTAACGGAATACAGTTACTCATATTTTGTATTTTAAATACGTAACGGCAGTACATGTATTCCGTTACTCCCCAACACTGTCTGTCACACAGACCTAGAGACCATTTGGGAACCACTGGTCGTGAGAGGAAAGATGTGTATGCCCTGACTGCGAGTGATTGCTGGAGCCACATTCACGCAGGCCTAGACACTGATCAGTGACCCTCTGACAACCACTGGATGCTGGCTTGGCTACAAACATTAGCAAACTATCTACCAACTACCCACTTTTCCCAGTTTCAACAGCTCGGAGAGGTGAGTATTTTCAGAGTAGTTGGCATCACAAGAAGGGTTTTGGTGTAGAACCCTCACCAACTGGTTGGGAAATACATGTTTCCCTCAAAACTGATGGTTGCTAAGCAGTCCCTAGCCTGAGGCGTTACCCAGAGAGAACAACTGTTCTCATTGTCGGCTTTGACCTTCTTATCGTTCTTCACTTTTCTTGCTTACCATCCATTGCGTCCTTCCTCTCATTGTCTTTAGTAATAGCACAGAAGCAAACTTTTTCTGCCATGATAACTAGCAGTAACATCACATGCAATCCACAATTTTCATTTAATTTTGTGCTTGAAATCCAGCGCATGGTTCATCCCTCCAGATCATAATGTCTGTGTGGATGTCTTTCCACTGCAGATTTAAAGGGGGGGAGGGGGGGGCACAGAGAAAGAGACAGAGCGAGAGAGAGAGAGAGAGAGAGAGAGAGAGAGAGATGATGCAAACAGAATATTAATAAGCACCAAAGGTTGTACAACCACATGCACTGGCCATAGTGTTCACTCTACCGCCTCATTTTTTTTTTAAATTTTTCCCTCTCACATGCACATAGGCAGTTGCTATACTTTCACAAATTCCTCTTATATATTTGGTAAAAACTGCTGATGGTAGGGACATTTGTTTTGTTGCTGAAACTCCTTCAGCAGCACTGTAAACACCTGTGCTTCTTATGGGGGCCAGGCAGAGATGTGTTCTCTCTGGGAAAACTGGGTGATAAATAAGGCACGAAACAGTGTGCCCCAGTGTAGAACAAACAGGTACTTAAACAGGTACTAAAATCCTGGATTTCCTTGACTGGGTTAATTTAAATTAATTTTTCTATGATTGTTTATTTTTAGACACTTGTCATAGTTATTCTTTTTGTTGTTTATTTTTGATGTTGATTTTTTTCCCAACAGTGTTTATCATTAGTATTTAATGTAGTCACGTATATTAATAGCACCACAGATATACCAAATAGAAGACATGCGATGTTGAAATACTGGAGGTGTTCTGTGGATCCTACTGGATGTTTATGGCGGGTGAGTAGTATTTATTCTGTAGTAGATGCTACTCAAGATCCGTAAATCCTAGTCTTCTCTTTTTTGGTTTGTGTTGGTGTAATTCTTTGGTTGGGTTAAGATAAGATATCCCAGACCTTCACATGAGAAGTTGGCTGCAGTAAAAGATGACTGAAGTTGAAAGAATATTTGTATCCACGTGGAACCCCTCAGACTCTCTGGACCAGTAATATGTTTTATTCTGTGTGCGCACACATGCATGCTCACCACTCCCTCCTGCCCCCTATATGTCCATACACATTGGTGTGATGTAGGTAAGCTGTCAGTCAGCTGACCTACATTAGCTGATCCTGCAGCACTCTGATTTCCTCTGGGGGCAGTAAGTCTGTGGGTGTGGTACATAAGTGTGTTTGTTGCTCATACATCTCTTTTATGTTTATATGTGTGTGCCCATGTGAGTGTGTGCCCATGTGTGTGTCCTACAGCTCAGAGGATGACAATCCTACATCTGCAGTGACATTTACAGGTTAAACGGTCTCACACTCACACTACTGTTCTTAGTCCAGATGATACATACTGATCTTTATTTACAGATAAATCTCTGGAGTGATGCTTTATATTGTATTTGAAGTTGACAGTGTATATTTTGATGTTCACCTGGAAAAATAATTGTATGTGCTTTTATTTCTGAGCAAGTTCCAACCAGATCAGACACACAAGTTATTCTTTTACTTTAGTGGTGAAACAATCACATCATAGACCAAATAGGTTATGCAAATAAAAGAAAAATCAGCTGTTGAAGAAGATGTTTCCAGTCAGCACCTCAGCACCTTTCTTTCTTAATATGTAACAAACTGCTGAGGGGGAAGACACTCATTCTCACCCCCCAGAAAATCCCACCTCCATGCAAAGCACCTATTAGATACAATGACATCACTTCTTTGACTGGTTACCGTGGTTACTTTAACTTCCTGCTGGCAAAAATCAGTATCCATACCCGATCTTCCTTAAGCCCCCCATTTCTTGGGTGTCTTATGTGCCGTCCTGTCCTCTCACTGCTATAACTCAATGTTTTCCCTTTCACGTGTCTCATGCCTCTTCTCCTCTCTTCTTTTGCTTGTTTCAGCATCCCCATGTATACACTCCTTTGCCGTGTATTTCCAACAGTTCCCCCTTTCTTAAAACATGGGTTTTAAGAAAGTTTATTTTTTCTTTGTGCCTACAAGGGATTGTTCTCATTTTAAAGTGAGAGCTGGAGTAGCATCACAAGAGTAAAGGGAGGGACAAAGAAAACAAAGACAAAAGCAACCATGGCAAACAATGACCCACATAGAGGGAGAGAACACAGATGTGGACAAATGGCTGCAGCTGGAAAGGAATGATATCTTAAACAGGCGGCAGTAAACAATGCGGATGATGCTCAGTCAGGCATAGGATAAAGACCAGAGCAGGATTGATGAGAAGGAAAATATCAGGCCTGTAAACAGCTAAGCTGAGATTGGTGGACGGTTACAGTGCAGACGATATGAGGCACAGCTTTACTAATAATGAAGAGGATAGGGTGGATCAAGTGCTCCATTCAGCAACTACTCCAAATGTGTTCTGTAGAACACAAAGGTCCAGACAAGCTTGATTTTGAAGCATAGGGGGCAGTATGCTGCATTACCTTTCATTTTGCAGTCAGGGAAGTAGGCAGGCAGGGTAAGGGGGGTAAAGGAGAAGTATTGGGAGCCTTTATGGAGCTGTATTATAGTAAGCTGCTTACAGTCTGTGTTGCTGTTCTGCATCTTCATGGGTGGGAGTGCAGAGAAAGGACAAAGAGGGAATGCATAGAGTGAAAGAGAACATAAAGATTCATCTTGGTCATCAGCAGACAGATGTTTGTTTTTGTCATCCAATCCACACCCGTCAGACCTCTTCTTTTTCTTCCTGGCTTCCACTTTTTAAAAATCCGCATTAATTATTTGTACTTTTTCCTCTCTCCGCCCTTCTCTTCCATCCCTCACATCCTAGCGAGCTACTCCCTGTAATGCC